TAAATTTATAGTTCTCCTCTGAACAAAAAGTTTAAGCCAATATGTTCCCACTCAGTCCCACCTCTAGAACAATCAAGTAAAATTTCCTTACCTTTTTTTTTTTTTTTTTTTTTGATTCTGACTAAATCTTCCCCAAAGAAACAGATTAGGATAAAGATTTAAAATTTAAACTTTAAAACAGTCAATCTTGATCCTACTTTTTTATATCACTCAAGATTTTGTATCTATTGTATCCCAAGGATACAATAGAGGAAGCAAGTGTCCCGTTCTACTCGGTCCTTCCTGACTGAGCTGCTGAGATACACAATACAGAAGCAGACTGTATTCTGTTTCATACTCTAATCTTTTCCTAATAATTCCTAATGTAGATTTGCTTTCTTGACTGCTAAGCTTTCAGATTATATTTCTTATGGAAATATTAATAATATGGAAACACTGAGCTATAAATAATAATTCTTAGATCTACATAATAATAAGGAAACACTGAGATCCTAAGATTTCATCTTTGTATAATTCAGCTCAAAGCTCAATTTCATCCATGAAGCTAAGACCTACATGTATCACAATGTTTAAGTATGTCCCATTTGCCTTGTTTTTTTTCTTTAATACTTTAATTTCCCTTCCTCTTTTCTTTTCCTCTCCCATTTTATAAGTTGTTTGGATAATTCATTACAGTATCTTTCTCTTTACTATCAAAATAAACCAATTAGAAAATTAATCTTACTACCCACCTCTTCCCCTTAAAAATGGTCGGTCACTTAAAAATAAGTTGAAGAGAGTTTTATGAGCACAGATTCATTATGCGCAGACAAACCACTGCCATTTCTGCCTATGCTATAATAAGCATCCCAAAGTCATTGCAAGACCCAGTTGTACATTAGCTCCATTGTATATTAGCCCCTGATGCTACACTTTTCTTTGGTTACAGCAAGGTTGTTTAGGAACATAGGCCAAAAAAAAAAAAAAATAAAAATAAATCTGTAACTGTACAGATAATGATAGTAATCTTTCTGCTAAAGTGAGTAAAAACATCCAACTCAATTATTGTTCCTTTCAAATAAATAAATAAATGCAACTTCCTTTTCCTTCTTCCCTAAAATATAAATAGGGCCTATCCCACCTCCCAGCCAAAATTTAAGAAACTGATGTTATCTAGCTTGAAAGCACCATTGTTCATCAGACCTGACTGACTCACAGGCACCGAGTCCAAGAACCACCACCCTCAAAGTCCTTAGAAATGCATCTGTACAGAAGCAACACATCTGCTGGTAAATCTGTCCATGCCCCTTCTCTCCCCAAAGGGCTGTGGTGCACAGGACAGCAGTGGGATCCTGGTCCTACACAATATACTTTTGAAGAAGAAGTTTTCTCTGTGACATACTTTCATTTCTGCTGTTCTGTCTCCCCAACTCATGTGCTCCAGACTACAGTAATGTCAGACGGATCCCACTCTTCAATCACACTGCCGTACTGCCCATATCTCTTCATTACAACATAGATAATTTAGTATTTAAAGCAAATTTATTAACCAAAATATTTATCCTTGGTACATACCTGGTGCACATTCTGTACTTACTCATAGATTGCCAAAGACAAGCTATTTTTTGGTCTCACTACCCACTCAATGAACTTACGAAACTTACAGTTGTATACCTAAATGCATCAAAGCCAAGGTCCCTTTTCCTATTGTTTTAGGTCACAAAATTCAGAACATTATTTAATAGAGTAAGATTTAGATCTATAAGCATAACATCACCTCAATATTTCTTAATATAACTTAACATTAATATAATAAAGAGGTGTTTAAAGGCTATTGATCTCATTCTATATGATAATTTATGGATCCACAACATCACTGGTACCCCAACGTGTTTACAAACAGTAACATCTCAGTAACATTTCACATTTCCTTTCAGCAGTTGATGCCTCAGAAATATAAATATATATATATATACTATTTGTAAAATAGGAAAGCTTTCAGGGAACATTCCACAGTCCAAGGATTAAGGTACTTGCACAATTCTAATCAACTACTTAAACAGCTTTTCCTCCTTCCCCTCTTCAAGGATTCCTTCCTGCACACGAAGGACTATCTTACTCAACAATTTCTTGCAAATGAAATTTTCAGTAAGAAAGACATGTTTTGAAGAACTTACATGTCCAGAAGAAAATCTTAAATGCCTTTAATATTAGACAAATTACTCAAAGATTGCAGAAAGATTCAATTACCTCTCAATTAACCCTCAATCAACACAAAGGCTGATGTTGGAGAGAACGCCAAAAGATGTTGCCGACATAGACATCAAAGAACCAAACATTCCTACTGTTATTTTATACCACACTTGTCACAGTACTATAGGAAAAGTGACAGGTCAGAGTACGAAAGAGAGACATTGCTGATTTTGAGAAGCCTGCCACAAAAGCAACTACCAGAGCATGTTTAGGTGCTATATGATTGAAAGAGGCTTTAATAATGTGTACTTGCATAATGTACCATAGCCAAACACAGCAATGCTTTGTGCTCTTGTGAGTAAATAGAACTTGGCTTGTAGATTCATTTTAGTTATTAAGGTTTTTTTTTTATAATATTAGTATATTTTAGATATTTTTGTTAGTTTTTATATTTATTAGTTGATAGAGAACTATTAGGACACTTGGTCTATAGATGTTTTGGAAGATAAATATATCATGATTTTCACCAAAGGCTTAATAAAGCAGCAGTTACTAAAATCAAAAACAGCTTTTAATTTTTTTTTTTTAGGCAAAGATAGAGGACAAGATAGTTGTAAAGACTAACTCCACGCTCATGTAGAACACTTCATGTTTACATCACGACTGAGTATAAATTACAGATTCCACTTTGGTAAGTGGAGTAACACTACAGCCCCAGTCTGTCTTGAACAATCCATAAAAAAACAGAATGACTGAGAGTATCTGAGCTTGAAAGTTTTACTCCATATCACTTTCCAGTTGGAGTTTGCTCACTGAATACTTGGAACAGGCTGCCTAGACAGCTTGTGGAGTCTCCTTCTCTAGAGATCTTTAAAATCTGCTTGGATGCAGCCCTGTGCCACACGCTCTAGGCGACCCTGCATGTGCAGTGGGTTGGACTAGATGATCTCTAAAGATCCCTTCCAACCTTAAGGATTCTATGAATACTGTAATGCTGCTTATAAGAACTTACACGTACTAGGAACAGATGTGTTCATACATCTATTTTCAAATATCATTGCTTATAACCACCAGGTATCCACATCCAGGTATGTGGATGGTGCAACTCAAAGTCCTTTCTGGCAGAGCTCCAGATAATAAGCCACACAGTTAAGTACATGGTGTAAGGACAAGAAAGAGTTAAGAGCTTAGTAATCACGTCCAGAGTTTTCCTATGGAAATTACCAAAAAATCAAATAGAGAAACCAACCATTGACAAACCAACGGTTGTCAATAGCTCCACAAGTAGTTTCAGGAGAATATCCAAGAGCATTCCAGAGGTGAGACAAGTGGGATGGAATTTGTCTTCAACAGATGCAGCACCAATTTAAATATTGTTAATTTATTATGAACAGTAGGGATCCAAGCAGGTATATTATTTATAAGAAAATCAAAGGATCCAAGAAGATGACAACATGTAACATGTTTCTGATCTCAGTGCAAGGACCGTATGAGAACATGGTAAGAGAAAAGTGTCAGACAAGATACTCTGGGCAAACAACTCCATTTGTAAAGATACAACTTGCAAGCTCAAGTAATTACTTTGTAGATTACTTTGTAGTATGATCATAAGAGTATCCAGTTTATAGAAAACGGCTCAGTAACCTAAACTGAACTTACAACACATGACTCTCATACCACTCCTACATTATTTCAAAGAATAAATTGAGGGCCAGCCAGATGATTCCTGAAAGCAGAAATGGAAAGAAGGAAGGAAAGGAGAGCAGATAGAGAAATCAGACCCTCACAGAGAGTGGGATGGAAGAAAAAAAAAAAAAAAGAAAAAAAAAAGAAGGATGGACACGTAAGTGAGCAATTGCAGCAACAGCCCCAGGACACAAAGCTTCTACAAATAGTTCAGATCTTGCTTTAAGTCTGATTATATTAGTTCGAATCCGCCTATGAATTCACACAAGAAAATTAACCAGATATAAGCATACCTAAATTGGTTCAGTGTGATACCACTAAATCAATTTAAGTTAAACTTAGTATATAAGCAATATATACTGCCTGCCCTCTTCAACTTCAGTCAAGAAGTAATTATTGCAAGGTTCCATCACTAGCCTTTTTTTTTTTTTTTTTTTTTTTTTTTTTTTTAAATGACAAAAGATTAAAACTCCTGGAGGAAAAACTAATGACAAGAATCTCCTTCATACACACGTCCTCACTGAGAGTCATGCTTATATTAATGTCCTTCAACCAGTCTCTTTCAGGCTTGGTGGTGCTACATCACCAGCCTGCTCTAATTGTTGAGCTATCTATATTAGAAGAGCTGAGGAGGTTACCTATAATGAAACAACAATTATTTTCTTGAGTCTTACAAGATTAATTCAGAAAGTGGTTTCAAGGCTGTGAAGCTTGAGAAGAATCTGATATCTATACTTTAATCCTTTCAGCTGGAGAGCAAATCCCTCTGTCCTCTCCCTTCATGTGCATCTGCTTTGCTAGTTCCTCTGCTCACACCGAGTCCAATTAAGGCACTGTTTATTTTTATACGGAATAGGAAGGGCAGTTAGCTAATTCAGGGATGACAGTTTTGTTTCTGGGAAACATGCCCATAAGTACTGCAGTGCTGACCATCACATCATCTTTGCTTCTATTTTTGAATATAGCTACAGACACCAAGCAACAAACAAATTAACACTGTGGAAGTTAGAAGGCACGTACCTAGTATAATCACCTCCCAATAAACATTTGCACCTAATTCTAGTGCTGAAAAGAATACAAATCCATGCTATTGCAAATCAAAATGTTACAGTCAAATGCCACTCCGATCTTTGGGTTTTTAAACATATTGTTTATTAATAGTTAAACATCATCTCAACAAGTATCTGCACATATGCAGGGATGATCTTTCAATGACGTTGCTGTTTAAACTGAAGTCCACAGTAGCCACACGTTCCAGTTTTTGTATCTTTGTCCTGAAAAATAATAATTAAAAAATACAAAAATTATTGGTTTAATTTTACATGGAATACAGTTTATAAAAATTACAGAATTTCATTTATTTACATGTGCCATCTTAAAAAGGCTCAATAAAACTGAAGTGCATAGCGGAATATTACTTGAAACACTGGAAGTAAAAGAAGGCAGTAGGAGGTTCATTCTTGATTTCTCTACCACATGCAGTTGCCTTTTTTACTTCTGTCACACTTTAATATCATTTCAAAGTTGTTCCAAATGAGTTCTTTCCAACTGTAAGGGAAACTAGACATCTTAGGTCAGCTCAGTCGCATCTGTTTCACAGTTCTGAAAGGATTGTTTCATAATTATTTTAATACAAAACAGGACCTGGCATCTTCCAGGTTATACCCAGACAGGACTTTTAGCCAGGAACGTGAACTTCCCATTCTAGAACAGAGGAATATTCAAGAGGAATCTGAGAGAAAATCCCAAAGAAGAGGTTTGGAGAACAGTAGCAGACACTACAGTACAGAATTTTTTCTTCTTGGCTAAGGGTAAGAATTTTGTTGCTGCTGTATTTTTAATTTAGAAATATACCCGACTCCAGGCTGTTGCTGTAGTTCTGCCCAGCTTTCTTGTCTTTCTGACATATTAAGACAGACACTACGAAGCCTTTTATGATTTAGCAGCACGATTCTTAGTCATGACATTAAGTGAACTTACACTTTCCCTTCCTTAAAACAAGATCAGAATTGACCTATCAAAACTACCTCCTCATCCAATTCTAGATTTAAATCATTAGGACTAGCAGAAGCAAGTTGACCTAGTCTTATTTTCTGTGTTTGAGGACAATATAATTCAGAAACCTTACCAAGACATCTTTAACTTGAACTCTAACAATAATAGTAATAAATCTTAAAAGTCACAAAAATTAGAGCATTCTTCAGAAAGTGCTCTTGGCTCAAGCCAAGGGAAACAAAGTCACTTCAACAGGAAGGCAGAGCAGTTTAAAAGTTAATTTCCAGGACTATGGTTAACAAGCTTCATGAGATCATTTGATTTTGAAGAATATGAAGTGTTTAATTTGTTCAAAATAGGAGTGTTTTTCTTTTTTATTAAAGTTGGGAGCTGCAACAATAGTGACATTAAAGGACATCACTTCTCTCCCACAATTTACTTGGCTATTAAGCAAATGCCAAAGCTGAGGTGAGTAAGCAAAGATTTTAACTGCTATATTCACTCAAGGTCTGCCTGAGAAGAAAGAACAGGAACAAAGTATCAGGCCACTCTTGAAGTCTATCAAATTCATCAATAGTTATAAGATTCTTACTCCTTACAAATACACTAAAAATTGTATCATGAATGTCACAGTAAATAGGGAAAAAAATGAAACATTTATTCTTCAACTATTCTCTGACCATGGTGGAAGCTTTAAATCTCCAGAATTACCAAAGATTCCCAAAGACTGAAGAGCTTCCCACACAAAGAAAAACCAAAAAGTACTAAACTCGCAAAATTCAAAATAAAACACACATTCCTAAGAAAATTTCAAATGCATCCTCAATTTACATAGTGACATTTAGATAATCAAAGCAAGCATCTCAAAACACAGCAAGCATGTTATTGTTACTTACAAGGCACTGCTTGTTCTGACATATTGCTTCCTAGTTCACTTCCTTCTCCCTAAAATCTGACTGACCTATCAAACGAAACCAAATCAAGTGCAAAAATATCCTGATAACTTCAAATGAAACCATCTAATTTTTCTGGGTAGAAATCTTAATGTTGTATTAAACGTCAGATAAAATATCTCAGGCGGTTACACATTAAACTAACATATAAACTATATTAACTATATAAACATATAAAAATATATCAACTATATAACAAAGTAGAATATCTTACAAATGAAAATTATGATGGCAAATGTTCTATATAAAGAGCAAAGACATTACCAAGTTTATGTACACTTTAGGATGTCCCAAAGCTCCACCACCACCATCGCACGATATCACTCGGCTTTCAACTTCGCTCACAGGCTGCTCTGCTATTAAATCAATTGCAAAATTCCTGTTTACCTGTAAGGCAGAAAGGAAAAAAGAAGCTCTTGAGATGCATTCTGTTGGATCAGGAAAGGTAATTGCTGTTTACTGCCTCCCCAAGCTGCATATGTTTCTTTCCTCCTCCTCTGCAGCTGTAATAGCTCTTAGGACTGCTCTATAAACAAAATCAGTGAAACCATCATTTTTAGCTCTGCAAAAATATTCCCCCTGGCCTGAAACATGGATCACATCAGTGCTCAGGCTTACAATGCAACCTAAGCAGTTTCAGCAACGAGCGGAGCAGGAACGAGAAATCAAGAACAAAAGACATTTAACCATCATTGCCTCTGTATTGTACCTCAGTGACTAGGTGATGAAATTGCAAAAGACTCCAAATAATAGCGGGACAAGTAAGGTCAGATAATCTAGTGCCCCTCTTCACGCACATAATTCCATTGTGACATGTAAATCATCAACTTGGCACATAACAACAGTTTAAAAATGCAAATTGTTCAAAGTTACAATGAAAAGAAAACAAACCCATAAACATTACTATGCCTGTCTACAAATCCATAGTAGGGACACTTCCTGGCACATTTACTAAACTTGCAATAAACGCAACCATTTCTAGATGGTGTTAGGTCTGTTATAGCATAACTTGGGCCTAAGCAGGAACCTACTAAATCAGCCACCGTGTTTTTCCTCATTCATTTATGTCAACTTCTTCCAAATAGCTCAGAACCAGCACTGAGCAATCATCTCCACACCACCACTACCGTCCTATACAAAAACACTCCAGGGCGGGCAGCTAATTTCAAAGGCAGTTTAGTACATACGCAAACACGAAGTATTACACAAAGCCCAAGAAGGCACTACCTGCTGCCCTGTGCACTGGGCTCACAAAGATGCTGGCATCTTCACTGAAAACTAGACGCTAAGAAAAAAGCATAAGATAACTAAGCGTCCATTAAATGAATCCCTAAGGACTATAGTGGTGATTCTAGTACACAGTAACTTCAGATTCTTTCTCCAAATCTTCACAATTTTGCCACAGCACTGGAAATGTTAGTTTTATTAATGCATTTTCTTTTCCTAAATTTGATAGGAAAAAAAAAGTTTTGTTAACTTTCATTTTTGAAACAAACGGACAGCATTAATAATCCCATGACTTTGGGTCTATAGGATACAAGGCATACACAACCTTAGTCAACTTACAAGGATTTTTTACCACGTTTTTCTTAATGGTCAACATTTTGCTTCCTTCCTCTCACACTAAAGACAGGAGTTAACACCTTGGTGCATCTTTGTTTCAAAATTAGAAATAGAGCTCCACTCTTTCAAATCCAGTCTTATTTCTTAATCCTACAAACATCTGTGGAGAGAAGGGCAGGCAAGTCTCAAGTTCAACTGTAACTTTTTTAACAATTCAACCTACTAAGCAACACTGCAGGAGTTTGTAGAGAAAATGTGCTATAGAAAGACTAAATCATCACAGGAAAAACCTGTGAGAGAAAAGTGGGTCCATATGTTATGTCCTTTCCAGTAAAGGATGGCAGGAGTTTGTGGAAGGGCCTTTTTTCCTAAGCACATCCCAACACAACACTTCTTACCCCACAAAATCCAATGAGCAACTTTTCATTGGGCAGTAGTGCCACTTGACAGCCCCATTGCTGCTTGTTCCCACCTACTCGCCTGCGCCAGCGCGTTGTCTATGAGACGAGACGGAGCGATAAAAATCAAACTTGGAACTGACCCAGCTGCAAAACCCCAGAAAGAAAGAAAAAGGTTATATTTAAACTAGATCAGCTCTGGTGTCAGCTTCATTTCATGGCTTCAACTGCTGCACTGGCACAACAGAAAGGATAGAGCTGAAGTGGAAACTGTCATGTAGCATTAGTTTCTGTGGCATTTCAAGGATTATACAAGGACAAGATTACACTACTTTGGCCGCAACAGATAGAGTTTAACAGCCACTATTCTATTCTCAGTTTTCTCATAGCAACTTGTCTTAGACTGTTGCCAGAGATCATTAATCCCCCAGTTTGGGATTCTGAACATTCAAGTGTGCAGCGGAGAGAACAATGATTTCAGTTGAAACACATGGACTCCATTATCCAGACAATTAGACTGGCAGAACTGAGGCAACAATATCCCCCAAAAGCTGGACCCGCGCCCGCGGGGCAGGGCAGGCAGGGTGCTGCTCAGGGAGGCTGCGCAGAACCCTGGTCGAGGGCCCAGCTCTGCTTCCAAGGACACTCGCATCCCGAGACGGGAACTAGGGACAGAGACCAGCAGCTAAAGCCGGGCTGGTTACATAAGAAGTTAGGTTTGGTTCAGGGGGTCACGCTGGAGTTAGAGGGAAGTAATAACAGAGAAAGGAGAGGCGCAAACGTCACAGGCTCGCTCTAACACCAAGGCACCTTCAGACTACAGATACTGTCTTAACTGCTAGTAATAGGTTTTATGACGTTTGAGGGAACTCCTTCCTAAAGGCAAAGACTAGAAACACACTCCATTGCTAAGAATAACTGAGAAGTGGTTTAGTACCTGACATATAGGTGGTGTTCCAATTACCTAACAAAAATAAAATACATAAAATAAAATAATAAAGCTCATGAAGGCAGTGACACACATCTAGAGCCAATTAGGCCAACTTCGGCAAGCCAAGGCCGAAGCTTTTTACAGTTACCAAAGTTGCTTACTTTCTCACGCGAAAATTGCCTCTATTCTCCCATATGTCCCATCCTCCCACTACTGAGGCATACCTCTGGGTTCTGAAACTTCGTGCCATTTTCATTTAATTATTTCCTATTTAGAGCTCTTATCTTTGCCATGGAGCATGGACACGTAACTTATGAAAGTCACAATACTGCACCATAAATTAAGCAGTAATAATAATAATAATAAATCTACATAATTAGTTCAGTATAACTTAGAGAATATTTATTGCATTAAAATCTATTGCATCATATGCTTAATGCCTCTATTATGAGCACAGGCTTCTACCATTAACATTAAGAGCCTAAGCAGATACTCAAGTGGTGGGAAATACAATTTAGTTAAAACAACAATCTTCATTTCCCCGCCCACAAGCCAGCAGATCCCTGGTAGATCTGCACTGTTTGATGATCAGAATTATATGTGCACTTTCACATACTCACACCACTGACACCAACAGGCTTACCTGCCAACCGCAGAACAGCATGCTTGGCTAAAACCAGTGTAGGTAAGCTCTGCTTTTGAAGTTTCATTATTTCAGAATAAACTAAATCTTGTTTTGCATTTGTTATATCACTGCTTCAGCAAGTGCTTCCCGTTTCTGAAAATGAAGTGCCCTCATAAACATTTCCTAGGCAGTTTGTTTAAAGATGCCAAGGCAGGAAAACATTTAAGTATGTACTTTTCCTGAATACTGATGGCACTAAATATATACCTAAAATGTTCTATTGAACCAAATCACCTTTGACAATATCAAAGACATTGGTATCAAGCATAAATGTCAAAACCATTCCTCCGCCTTCCCTGAAGGAAAGCAGACTGAGTTACCTCCTTTTGTCGTCCAACAAATCTAACTCTTCTGTAATCCTTTTCATCATATACCTGAAATATAAAATCAGTTTCAGTTCATTTAAAAAGCAACAACAGAAAAAAGAACACAAAGACTTAGAGTGACATCAAGGCAAGATGTGCCATCAAATGTACCTACTGCCTACGGGATGGCATTAGCAAAGTCATGTTTATACAATTCTTTTTTGACAAGAAACAATAGAAAATTTATTTTTTAATGTAACAAATTGTGCTCTAAGGAGCAAGAGTTGAGCATGCTGAAAAGAGACAGTGGTGTCAACAAAGGTAACAAGAAGTTCTCTGTGATGAGATCTAGGTGAGAAGAAGCTCCTGATGACGCAGCTACAGCCAATGGAGTATTCTCTCCTGTTCATGGAATTAATACAGCTGTATCAGGAGGAAATACACTGCATTTTACAGTAGAAGGCTCAGTTGACCCAACCCTCCAACCCCAACAAACAAAAACTGCAACGCAGACAAGATATAAGCATGAGAACTGCCACACAAGCTAACAGATGCAGGAAACGGAAAGCAGAGAACCACCCCTTGCAAGAGGTACCCATCTATCTGTCAAGTTACCAGCTCTGACAAAAGCTGCACTCAGATATTTAGTAACTACTAAAGAGACTGTTCTTACCAACTGGTCTCTTTCTGAAATCATACATATCTTTTTTTTTTTCCCCTTAAGCAATATCCAACAACAGTAACTTTCAGGATACAAGCGTGCTAGCTAAAATAACATTTCATTTTGTTACAAAAACCTGCTTTCCACAGGGTGTGCATATGAAATCCTATCCGTATACTCAACTTAGAAAACTATGAATAAAAGCTTTCTAAACCTTCTAAAAGCTTTATCCATCTTTCATGAACACTATATTCATTTATCTCAAGACTCAACCATCATTTACACTAAGTACTTCTTCTGAAAATATTCTCAATCATAACACTATAAAAACTTATAACCCATAATTAAGATAAAATTAAACACAGAGGTAGAAGCCATTCACACGGGAGGTCACACTTTGCTGAAGTCAGAAAGGACGCAGACAGGACGAATTTTGCGAAACACGTAGCTTTTCATAACACAAGGCAGCATAGCTGAGAAACACGTAGAAGATCTCAGCCAAAAAAAAAAAAAAAAAACCCTTGTCCAAAGAACGCAATGAATGAGGACAAGAAGATGCAAACCCTGCAGCTGAACTGAGGCCCCCGTTCAAAGCAGAAAAGGAGCGTCCTGGTCACCCCCAGCCCGGGGGCAGCGAAACACCTTAACCGATGCGCGCGGAAAGCAGCTTTCTGTCCCTCGGGCTCTCCATAAGGACAAAGGGTGGGACAAAGGGTGGGACAAGGCCCCCCACGGCGCCCCCTCACCCCCAGAGCGGCTCAGGCCGCTCCGCCCGCCACCTACGCGACGGGCCGCGAGTCGCAGCGGCCGCCGCAGCCCTCACCTGCCCCGTGTGCGTCACCAGCTCGCCCGTGGCCGACGCCCGCACGCCGTAGGCCCGCACCAGCAACGGCAGCGGCGGCAACGCGCGCCCCAACGGCACCAAACGGCGGAAGGTCGCCCAGGGCGCCGCCATGTCGAGGCGGCCACGTGACGCCGCGCGGGCCGGAGCGCGCACGCGCCGCCGCCAGCCCGCCCTCCCCACCGCCCTCGCCCCGCGCCGAGGAGCGGGCCGCGCGCATGCGCGGGAGCAGGCCCTGCCCTGCGGTCGTTAACGGACGGAGGAGCGCGCGGTGACGGTTAGTGACCCGCGGCGCGGCGGCCGGCGGGCGGGCGGCGCCTGCACCTATTTCCTCTTCTCTCGTAGCTGCGGAAAATGTTGTCCTTCCTCGCCCGGGCTGCCGTTGCTGCTGCCGCCCGGCCGCTCCGCTCGCCCGTCTGCTCGCCGCTGTGGAGCGGCGCGGCCGCCGCCACCGCGGCGCGGGCTCTGCTCGCCAGCCCGCCACTGCCCGCAGTGCTGCCCCTGGCGGGCCTGAAAACGAAGACGTCGCTGAAGAAGCGCTGCAAGGACTGCTTCATCGTGCGCCGCCGGGGCCGCCTCTACGTGTGCTGCAAGACCAACCCCCGCCATAAGCAGCGGAAGTTGTAGCGCCGCGCCTGTCCCGCCTCTAGAACCGCCTCTGGTGCCTGGAGCTCTCTGTCGAAACGTGAAGCTCCTGCGATAGTCTTGAAAGAAAAATAAATAAATAAACTCGGGTTTTGTACGTGTAAGCCTGTGGTTCTTGGATCCTATATCTGCGAAGCTATGCTAATTCCATTGCGGTGTCAGCTGTGAGGGTTTTTTTTTTTTTTTTTTCTTTTTTTAATATACCTGACCAAACAATATGGTTGGGGACCCAAACCATAACATGGCACAGGTGACAGTTCTGGCACTTAACTCTCAAGTAGTGCAAGTCTTACACTCTTAAATCATGTAAGTCTCTGTTTTTGAGAGTGATTGCCATAGCCCTACCTTAAACCATTGAGGTTACCTTAAAATTGAGGTGCCTCGATTCCTGGGACCTTACACAAACTTGTGGCTGTGTTAGTAAGAATGAAGTAAAGCCTTCAAACTTGGTGACGCAATTCTTGATGAAAGAAAAGTGGAAATTAATACAGTGATGGTATGTTAATGTAGTACAAATCATTCTTTAGAAGTTGATATTGAAAGCTCTGAGATACAGAACCAGCAGCGTGAAACTCAGGTGGCGATTTAAGTGACAGATACTCAAACATACTGGAATTCAGTGTTCTGGCTTTTGGCTTGTTTTGTGGGTGAGGTAAAAACTTAATGAGTTACAGCAGCAAGCTTAATGAGTTATTGAGCAAGCATAACTTCATGTAGCTTCAGTAACGCCAGCCTAAATTCCTTGCTTGTTTTTGTGAGGCGTTAGGGGTGCTGGTATTTTAAATAGCATAGAGCAATGTGAGGCCTTAACCTATGTACCTTTTAGTATGTAAAGCTATTGCTTAATGATGTGTTGCCTGTTCAGTGTATTCTGGAGTGTCCTCAGCCACACGTGATGGTTCTGATGTACTTGCTTTTCCACCAGTAAAAGTTTCCTGAATCTGAACAGTAGTAAAAAGGCAACAATTAGAAATGGTTGCCTTTTGGGTGGATTTTTTTTACTGTGTTGGTAGTCATGCCGAGCTGGTATCAGTTGAACCTGGCCAAATCTCACTCCACAGCAGGGAGTGAAATTTAGGGTTAAGGTTACTGCATAGAACAGAGGGGCAGAGTTAGGGTGTTTTCATTTTGCCATTCAGCTTGAGATTAAGTTCAAGCTTTTACACTATGCTGAAGTTCAGGGTATAAACAAGCCTGACTTAACAGCCTATTTGAACATTTATAATTAGGACAGAACTATTTTGTGATTGAGGCCATTGAATTTAGCGTTGCCGGTCACAAACTTGAAGTCATTTAAATTCAGATGTTTGATAGTTCTGTAAATTATTTATCAGTCATTTGAATGGTCAGCTTGGTACCTAGCGTGGAGTTTTCGAATAATTTAGTGTTCATAGCCGTTAGGGAAAATGGATATTTGGTAGTGTTAACAGAATTTTGAAAGAGGATTATAGGATTAGAAACTAGGAGGCTCTGAATTGTAGAATTATAATTGTACTCTGGCTTGAAAAATACCAGTATAATTTTGAGGAAACAATTTCTGCCTTTGTTTCTGTTTCTCCATTTGTTAAATGGGAGTACTGAATCTAACTCCTCTTTCCAAGTACTTTTTATAATTAATGTCTGCAACTTGTTATGAAAATGTTTTGGAAAAAAATCGAATTTCAAAAAAGCTTTTTCTAATTTGGGTCAAATGAGCGTGACTAGAGATGGTGCAGCTACATGTCTATTTTAGGCTTATTTGCAACACTTGTAAAATGAATAGGTGAATTATGTGGGGCCTAACTGTTGGCAGATTAAGGAATGGCAACAATATAGACTATATTTTGCTATAGACTTCCTGAATGTTGTGATACTTAAACAGCTTTTTTCAAAGGACAGGGTGCATAACTGCTACTTAAGGAATCAAGGCCAAAAATGAAGTTCTAGAATACTAAAAATACAAATCTGTATTATTCCCTAATTGCTTGTATGGAGGTTTTTCTATGTTACTTCTCTTTCTTCCACAGCATGTTGGCGGGAGTTTGAGGGAAATGTTTAGGAGAGCACAAGAAAAACGGAGGTAGCTCAGGAAGAAAACAGGACCAAATAGTGAGGGAATAAGAATCGTTGCACTAAAAATTGAAATGAGACTCATGTTCCAATTACACTTTCATGTTTCCTGATGGTTTTATGTCTGGATTACCTCTTCCAGGGATACCCCTTTCCTTTTCCAACCCCCTGTGATGGGGCAGTAGTGTGACCACTGGGCTTCACTGTGACTGCCGAGGTAATACAGTTATGAAAATAACATGCAGTTATGCTTGCCTAAAGTTGCTTAATTTCTCAAAGCTCTTCTAGGCTGTGAGATTGCCTTTCAGATTCCTGATATGCAACAGGTGGATAGGTATTTAGGTCAATCAGAGGATGAATCTGAGAGCTCATGGATATTAATGAATGTCAGACTTTGTCTGGGGCTGTGTGTATGGGAATTACTGCACTGGTTGCTGAATTGAGGACAACAGCTCTTTAATAATGACAGGTGAGGGAGGAATCTTTCTGAACTGTACTGCTTGGGGAAGGAGCTGTGTCAGCTTGCATCAAGGAGGTACAGCCAGCAGATACATGTAGCTTAGCTAACTGACGGGTCACTCTTCCAGTTTATGCCGATATCAGAAACAGTTTCCCAGATCCAGATTTTTTTTTTTCTGTCTTGGAATCATCTTCTTCCTCTTATTTTATTATGCCACATACTAAAGTAGAAAGAAGAAATAAGCACAGAGAAGAGCAAACCGTAAGAGCAATTGCTAATGCCTTTGTAGAAAAAAATAACAATTGGACACCTCATTTGTAGAGAGATGAGATTAATTTTCCATCCTTAATATCAGCAAAGTGTTTGTTCATAGAAAAAACAAGTTGGAAGAATTGTTTAAGAAACAAAAATGAAAACAATAAACACTATCAAATACTGTTAAACAAGGTGGGGAGGGGGGAAACCAGAAGCAAACTGCTTTCTGGTGTTTGTTTAGCACTGCAGGTGAGCTCAACAGTGTTAGCACAGGCCCTGTTCAGAGTGGCTTCTGTGCAGCTCCAAGCTCTGTCTGGTTTTCAGTGAGCTCCGTACGTTTGATAAGTGATGAATTTCATCACCAGTGTCACCATATCCTAATGTTCTGAATCAACAAGGCTGGATCTATCTTTGTATGCACTGATGAAAACTATCAAGTGACCTTTAAGGTACAGATTAAGGCTGAAGTAGTCCCAAAATACTGGGTTTAGACTGGTTATCCATTAAGTAGACTGGTTATCCATTTAAATACTTAGTTTTGTTCCATCAGAACTCATCAGGTTATTGAAATAGAGCTTAGAATCTGTACTGGTAACTTAAGCTAGAGGGCGTTGAGTGCGATGGTCCCTGACCTGGACAGCATAAAATGCTCTGTGGCTTTCCTACAGTTATTACTCCTTTGCTAATTTTTTATTATCTGTGGTTGATGAATATTACTTGTGGTTCAGTAATAAAAACAGAGCATCGCTAGTCCTAATATCTCTGGAAGGATAATGCAAAATATCCAAATTTCTCTGTTAGCAGTCACATTTTGGCATCTGTCATTTAAGCAGTTCTTAATTCAGGCACATCTATCAGTGTTCTTGTTCATTTGTTTGTTTGTTTGTCTGTGTTTGTTAGACGTTTAGAATGTAACATGTCTCATGAGTCAGTTTGAATCACTGGTTTTCTTCCTGCATCTTGCTCCCTTGGTAATCTGTACCAAACACAAGATGGACAGACTCAGATCTTTTTGTTCCCTGCATAAAACCCCGGAGCGGGTGAGTGCCTGGACTCCTCGAGCCTGTTGTGATAAGCAGCATGACAGGAACCAGTGCTAGTTCTTCCTTCTGCAGTTCTCCAGCACTATTCCAACAGGCCTTGCAGTCTCATGTCACATCCTGGGGAGGAGTAACCCCAGGTATCAGTACAAATAACAGCTTGACCTGCTGGAAGGCAGCTCTGTGGAGAGGGATTTGGGAGTCCTGGTTGACACCAAGTTAACTGTGAGGCAGCAGTGCCCTCGTGGCCATGAAGGCCTGTGGGATCCTGGCTGCATCAGGAGGAGTGTTGCCAGCAGCGCTGGGGAGGCCACATCTGGAGTATTGGGTGCAGTTCTGGGCTTCCCAGGACAAGAGGGATGTGTTGCTTCTCGAGAGGGTCCAGCGGAGATCAAGAAAGATGATTAAGGGACTGGAAAATATTTCATATAAGGAGAGACTGAGTTGGGCCTGTTTTCTCTGGAGAAGATTGAGAAGTTTGATCTGATCAACATGTACAAATACCTGAGGGGAGAATGCAGGTAGGAAGGGGCCAAACTCTTCTCAGTGGTGGCCAGTGATAGGACAAGGGGAAATGGGTACAAATTAAAACACAGGCAGTTCCATCTCCATGTGAGGAAGAACTTCTTCACTGTGAGGGTGACAGAGCCCTGGAAGAGGCTGCCCAGGGAGGTTGTGGAGTCTCCTTCTCTGGAGGTCTTCCAAACCTGCCTGGATGCCGCCCTGTGCCCCGTGCTCTGGGTGTCCCTGCTGGAGCAGGGGCGTTGGACTGGATGATCTCTAGAGGTCTCTTCGTTCTGTGATTCTGCAATAATGTGCACTCAGTATGCACTCTCAGTATTGTGCAATTCAAGCGCAAACTTGGAGGGCTACAAAACACTCATTTTCTTGGATACATAGTGAAGCCATGTTAGTTATTAAGGAATGTAGTGAGGTTTATAACACTTGGGATCAAAGAGGGATCAGGAGGGAAGATGGGGCTGCGTAGTGGCATGCTTGTGATGGACAGGCCTTTCTGGCCTCTGGGGATACAGTGGGGCAGCTCCACGCTGTGTTTTGGGCTGGTCCTTAATACCACTCGAAAAAAGTAAGGAGAAGAAAGGCTAAAACCAGCCCATATTGAGACTTGTGGTGACTGACAGCACTGTCAGGTCATACACAGGGATTAGACAAAGACGGGGCATGGTGTGAGCAGCAGGCTAAGGAGCTGTGGTGTGAGGGTGGTTGGCAGGGGCCAAGAAGAGGCCCTCTGTGTTAGGGCTTCTTCAAGGTGCTCAAATTGGCGTCTCCTCA